TTTCCAGCATTCTGCACAATAGAGGAAAGCATGGAATCGCGCAGCAAGCCGGGTGAGCTGTTCTGACAAATCGGCCATCTGATATAAACTTTTTCAATATATTTCGGATGGACATGAAACTTGCTACATCAATATAACTTTCCATTCCGAACAATCGTATGTTTTTTATTTTTGAGATTTAACGGTTTTTGGCGGGAAAATGACGTCACGAAACCTCCAGTTAAAATTTACTTTCAATATCTTAATAGTTTTGTCGCAGAATTTGGAAGAACATGTCATGAACAGTTCAAAACTGAAAACGGATTTTAAATATCTAAACCTAATCCAAAGTTATTTCACCATAAAAACCGTGAAAAATCTAAAAATAGTAACAAAATGGTGGAAAATTCGATTCTAAACTCCCTGTATCTCGTGATTAGATTAAGATATTTAAAATCTGTTTTCAGTTTTGAACTCTTCATGACATGATCTTCGACATTCTGCTTAAAAACTATTAAGATATTGAAAATAAATTTTAACTGGAGGTTTCGTGACGTCATTTTCCCGCCAAAAACCGTTAAATCTCAAAAATAAAAAACATACGATTGTTCGGAATGGAAAGTTATATTGATGTAGCAAGTTTCATGTCCATCCGAAATATATTGAAAAAGTTTATATTAGATGGCCGATTTGTGAGAACAGCTGACCCGGCGTGCAGAGCAGCAAAACATGGACAAAACATTAAGTAATGTGTTACATCTTCCTTAAATGCACCACAAATACAAGAAGGTGATTCGATACAATTCATTAAGTAAAGATAATAATCTAAAGCACAGTTTTTGAGTCTTAGTCTAGTGTGTAAAATGTTTAAATAACGATCCCCAAGATTGAATAGTTTATTAGCAGGAGGTACATAAAATAAATCACGAGTTAAATTATTTGTAAAAGAGTCAACTGAAGAAGAATTTCGTAGTTGTTCTGTAAGAGTATTCCAAAATTTTATAGTCGATGGTAAAAAGGACTTCTTAAGAAGATTTTTTTAATTATTGAGAAACTCGCGATCAAAAATACCATGATGCTTTGCGAAAAAATAATAAATTTTGTTGTTTTTTGGAACATGGCGGCAAAGGAGAGAACGTGTTTCAATTTTGCTCTATTGATCTCATGAAAACTCGCTCGATGTTACATCTAAGACATGAAATGGTATATTCAGCATATTTTCCTGTACTGGAAGTTAATAAAACGTCTCTACGACGTTTTAAACAACAACAACGTACTTCGAACTCTGGAGGTGTATACTTCGAATGCAGAAGCCAAGAAGGTACGAATATTTTAACTGCTTCAGTTCTGTTTTTATGTGGCTAGATCTTAAAAATAATTCCGTCAATAGCAACATATATGCCTAAACTTTGTGTCTTTTCTGCATCGATTTGATCTTGGCCTCAGATATTTGTATTTTTCCTTCTGAAGTGAGCGACCTTTCTTCGACATTAAAAGCCCCATTGTCGTTCGCCCCCACAAATTATCCTGCAAATACACCTTGAAATTTATGTCGATTTCACAAAACAATTATTGCGTGTGAAAGAGTGTTATCGTATGCCCAAAATAAATCTCAATTTATGCATGTATTGAAGCGTACTGTGTTGATAAAGGTCCATTTTCCTTCTGCAAACATTGTTATTGTATGTCATTTTTCGCGCCAACTTACAAAATCTATTCACCTTGGATATTTTAGATATTTTTACGTTTAAACCAATTGGCGCACTGTGGGACTTATAGTACATTGTAGTACAGTCTTTGAGGATAAAAACTGTTCCTGTTTGAAGAAATTTTAGGTGAATGGTCCTCGCACAATTTTTAAAAGTAAATGTTTCAGTTTCCCATTTTCCTCACTTTTTCCTAAAATAGATGGCTTTTGTTTTGATTGTTTTAAAATAGACTACCTAATGGTTAAACATTAATAGGTTTCCTAACTATGTAGCTTTGTAATCAAATACCATTATATTGCTGGCCAAAATCTAGAAGAAAACTCTGAAAAAAAAATTATGAGATTTTTTGATCATGAAAATGTTGATTTTCTGCCAAGTGGGCAAAAGAATGACTGAAGGCTTTACAAAATTTCAAAAATAATGCTTAATATTGATTGGCACACCGCAAGGTGTATCTACGCTTGAAGTTTATGTACTACACTTCAAAGTTAATATGGTTTGGGAAAATTTTAGGTGCATGGTCCTCGCAGAATTTAGCCATTTTCATCGTCTTTTCTTTTCGAGTTTTATTGCATTTAATTAAGGTGACTCTATGATGTTTTGCAAGGTGTAAGGAAATATGTCCTGAAAATGCAGTATTCTTCATGGTTATAAAACACTATGGATATCAAAACTTTTCTAAAGTGTATTTTAGCATTTAATGATTGTACACAGGTGGTTGCTATGGTAACATGAATTCATTTGCTAATTATTTTCTAACAAAATGATATTTTGTATTGTTTTCTTTCCCTACTTTTTCTAACATTTGAGCATTTTCCATTGAGCCCTTAGTGTTTCTAGCACATACATCAGTCGTTGTAAGCAGACAAATAATTTTCAAAAAAAATTCTCCTTGTTTATCAATTCCTTTAGGATCATTGCAATGGTAACATAATTAACCCGTTGAGTGGCAACACTCTTCCCTTGACAAGTAAAAATTGTCTGTAGGGGAGTGCACCGGATTTCAAATTCCGGCCGGATTTAATGAATTTTCCGGTATCCGGCCGGATTTGGAGAAAATCCGGCCCGAATTAAATTTCTGTCTTCACCTTAAAAAATTCACCAAGAATGGGATAAACCACCAATTTGGCAGCTTTAAAGTTTAAAAAACACTTATATTATTATAAAATATTAAGTTATTAACAAAAAGATGTTTAAAAAAGGTTTAATTAAACACAATAAAAAATCTAAACTGACACTAACTAAAAATAGTAAAAAACATAAACCGTCATTTTGAATACTGATTTATCCCCAATTGTCCCCATTCCCGGTTTATCTCAAATCCGGCCGTAATTTTTGTCCAAATCCGGCAAATCCGGTTCCGGACGGATTTGAAAATTCCAAATCCGGTGCACCCCTAATTGTCTGGCATTAGACAGAGTAAAATAATAAAGTAGGGTGCATCAGGGTGCATTGCCACCTAAAGGGATAAACAATATAACAATTCAGCTGAGTAAATATTATGTGGAATTAGCGAAAGTAAAATACTGTACTAATGTCCCATCTTACTGTTTTAATAGTTTTTTTGTTTCATAACTTTTTGTTTCATAACTTATATAGAGCCTTATTAGAGTCAACCTACTACCTCTTTCGTCTAACAGGCTAGACCTAAATTCAAAACACATTATTTTAAGTTTTTAAACCCCACTTACTCAAGCTATATAAATTCTGGAGTTAAGGCAACAGAACTGAAGTTGTGTACATTTTATTTCTGGAAAAATAACTCAAACCTGTTCAAACATGAAAATTCCAAGCTTACTTAATATTCATACCTTTTATAGATTTTGTAAAAAGCAATTGGGATTTCACTCTGCTCTGGATTTATTTTCACCTACTTGGCCTGTCGTTGCACATTCATTATAACAAGGATAAGTGTCTTTTTGTGAGAGATATCTTAAGGACATCACATTAATGAAGGTTCTTTGTAGGTTTTCATGGTGACTAATGATGAAGTTTTGTTTTGTAGAAACACCACATATATTTATTATTATTCTCAATGAGTTCTTTGAGAATCTCAGACCCAAACTTCAAAGGATTTTCCAGAGGAACGTTTTCTCGACCCCCTACTGTAGATGTGTCATTATACAAAAATTGGATAATGCCTCTTTCAGGATCCTGGCTAAAAGCCTGGTCAATGCTAACAGTAACTGTATTAGGACTTAACAAATGCTTTGAAATAAATATATGTGGCGTTTCCACAAAACCCATAAAACTCATGTTACCTAAAACTTGATTTACATGCAATTACATCGTAACATACTGTAGCCTGTTGACCTTCTGTTGTTAATTACGTGCTGCAATTCGGTTGCAGACATGCTTCACTTTTGGTTTGCATGTTTGTTTAAACAGAGAAAGTGAACATTATATTTTATGATATTCAAATGATATTACACTGACAATAATAATTTAGTTATGTATAATAAGTTAGATATGGCAATATATAAATTAAGTTTGTCTTGTTTGAAAAACCATTAAAAATTATCTATAAACTTCCTTTACAATTATTCAGTATCTTGCTTGCATGTTTTTGAAATCAATTTGACTTATGACTTATTTTGATCAAAAGCGAGTGCAGTCCGCCATCTTCGATATGCATACCATTATGCATACGTCACAAGTAGAGTCAAAAGCGAAATTTTTATCTTGCAAACCACATATCATTATCAATATGAAACTCAATTTTCCGAAGTCTTTTTAGTACTCAATTAACTCGCAACATTTTATAAAACTTTTAGAAGAAATTTAGCCCCACATGAAGAGGTATTTAAAACAAGTTTATCCTGCTTGTGACGTCACCAAAAACTCAGTTAATTAGGTCATTATAATACAAAGATGGCGGACTGCACACAGTTTTTGGTCAAAATATTTCGAAAACCAAGCAAGGTACGAAAAAGTTGTAAAGAGTCTTCATATATAACTTTAAAAGTTCTTTCAAATAAGAAAAAGTTAATTTTTATTGCGATATCCCTTTAAATATACGTTTAATTTTGTTCATGCAATTAGTAAATGTATACTGTCAATTATTGGTTTCCCTTCCTTCTTTTGTACGCGCTCCAAGAACGTTTTATTTGGCGCTGGGTTAATGTCATTTCCTTTCCTAGCTGTTCCTCCATGAGTTTTTCGCAAGTCTGGGCCGTGTCTCTATTCTTTTTGTCCTTCTCCCCTACGTCAAAGCATTTTCCATTAAATCTTTTTGTTCAGCTGTAAAGCGAATGTTTTTCCTCAACTTTGTCTTCATTGCACTGCCTTTAAGTAGACTGCAGTAAAGTAGATTTATTCTTGATTGCTTCCTTCAAGTTGCTCTGAACTATTAAACCTAACGTCACGAACATCATTAGCAAGCTCTAATGCTTGCACTACTGGAATTGATGCTTTTATCTCTTCCAACGTCTTTGACGCTTTCTTTCTTTCTAAACACTTTCTACTGTTTAGATACTTCTGCAATGGTTTCTTACGAAGGAATACTTTATTGAAACTAGGACATTTATTGTTGTTGATTTTGCTTGCGTTTGGATCTGTATTTATGTTGCGTACCTTCAGCTGTTTTGTTTGGGCTCCCTTTTTTTGTTTTTTAAACTTTGGCTCGACATTCTCAGCACTACTTTGATCAAATTCCGAGGTCACTCCAGTAGAAAGGCAAAGAGTTGATATGTAACAAGGCCACAATTTTTTAATCTTGTTCTTTTTCAAATGCAAAGTTGCACCAACGTTGGTCAGCTCCCTTGCGTCAATTGTATGGTCATTCTTGAAAGTGAAATCTGCATAAGATGTTATTTTATCGAGAGATTTTGCGCTGCAAGGTTCCTTCGTTCGGTCGATCATAATTTCGTACACGTGTGTTCCTCTTAAATGTTCTTTTGTCCCATCCACTATGTCTTCGCTCGTAAGTAGGTCATTCCCTCTTTTCATCCATCCTTTTGTAGCAAACTTGAAAGTGGCAAAGTGCGAATCCAATGATGTCTTCCCCTTCTGGGCCTCGAATAACGAATACCTTTCAATGTGTATAGAGCATGTTTCATGTAACCGAGTAAGCCATAATATTACGGAAGTGTTATGGTAATGCGGTCCATTATCTGACAATATGACTATCGATTTTACATCTTCGTGTCGGGATTTAAAGTTGTTAAATGTTGCTTCGAATGCACTCACCGTAAAGTACCAATTTTGAGTACAATCACCATTTGAAAAGACGTCGTGTATTTCTACTTGGATTTCTTCCGATTCTTCCGATTTAAAGAAAAACATACTGCCATGACCTGACACCCCCTTCTTTCCCAACCAATCTCGTTGTGGTTCTCTAAATTTATGGAGCAAGAGCTTCATCATATAGTCGCATACAACCACTGCTTTACCGGGTCTTAATCCAACCACTTCCTCCATAAATTTCATTCTCTGATATTTGCCACGAACGAGTTGAGCAATGTATACATCAAGATTTTCTTGCACTTTACGCACTTGTTCTTGGTAGTAGTATTTGCGAGACATGCTTAAGGTGCTGTCAAAAATAGTCGCTTGTAGATCGTCAAAGAGAGTGAATCGTTGAGCACATTCGTCGCATACTTGTGTGTGATTTTTACAGCAATTAGCTTTGTCGTTCAATAACCATGCCATGCAGTGGAATGCGCAAGTGTTATTGGTATTGATTTTCGAAGAAAAATTAGACAGTAGGTGACCTTTCAAGATAGTAGTTCGTTTTAAAAAGTCGCTGAAATCTGGCACGGGAACGCCCACTTCGATCATAAGTACAGGAGAATCAACTGAAAGAGGATTCAACGATCTGTTTTCAGTGTCTTCATCGTTTAGATCTACCATAGTTACTCTGCTGGTTGTGCTATCCTCATCAAACTCTTCATTTTCGGCCGGTATGTCATCCTCAGTAGGAAGACCTGCAATCTCCTTGCTTAGCATCTCAATCAATTCTGCGCATTTTTTCCAGTTCTGTGTACCTACTTCATCACAAATATTACACAAACCAGCCCTCTCTGCCATTTCTTTAAAGTTACCAGCATTTATACCATCGCGGAATTTTGTTTCTGATATCGGTTTGGTACCCAGCTTTGCACATTCATCATAGTACTTTTTGTACAAATGACTTTTCCCATCTTTCAGCCACATAACGGGTTGTTGATTTTGGGCGAATAAATCGGAAATCCAGGATGATTTGGAACCTTCGCACTAAGCCATTCTGTGGAAGGATCTGCAGGTGTTATCGGGATGATGGGTGAAATTTATAACGAATGCAAGATCTTCTGGGGCAATCCGAAATCGTCTTACTTGCTTCACTTTTTTCACTGTTGCTCCAGGGCCATGTTGCTGTGCATGTTTACGCGCTTCTGTCAGCTCATAGTCTGTACACTGTTTTTTAACTCTTTATTTTTAAGACGCGGTGCAATTGCGCTTAACAGCCTGATTTTTCCAGTTGCGCCGTGGCAAATTTTTTTCCATAGACAGTCGGACTCCTCATTGATAGTCGGACGCATCATTGATCCGCGTCCAGGCCTCCGCGCGTTATCAATGAATCCCTTCGTAACCCACTGGTGCACCATATGTCCATCACTCCACGTTGTTCTTCTTCGACCACGTGTAGAAAGATGAACGATTTACTTCGCGATGCCATAATAAATCTACAAACTTGTTTTTCTGGTTCCGAAAATACTCAAGAACGGTTAATGCGAGTTAAAACTATATATCATCCCTTTTGAAGAGAATCAGGATAAGATAACTAGCGTGCGTGGAAATAGTGGAAGATTCAAAGCGACACTAATCAATACCACTTTTCACAAATAGAATTATTGCAGAAAACCCTGTGTACGGAATACATATCATGTAGCCCGGCCACTATTTCAATGGATACGTATATACCAGATCTTATTGCCTCGTTCTAATATACAAGTTGAAACTAATTACTAAAACAATATTACGAATTGATACTATAAACTAAGGAAATATCATGGAAGACTTTTAATGTTTAATATTATGCTTAGTATGTTTTATAATATAAAATATTTTCTCCCAGCGACGCTAATTAATCATAATCTGTCAAACACCAATGTACGGTTGTGAGGAACATATTTGCATATATATTACACCACATTTAAGCTCTCTATAGCATGAGAAATTAATCCATTACTGCCAACTAATTACTGCCACGCATTCGCGTATCCACTAACATCTTGAGCTACCTATAGCGTGAGAATTAGATATAATGCTTTAAATCTAACTGCATGGCTCGTTCTCAAAATAACTACTTGACTGCGTATCCGCGTATCCACTAGAATAAAGAGCTACATATATATGACAATTTAATCTATCAATGATAAGTCCGGCTATATGCCTCGTAGCTACATTTACTGGGCCACCATCTAATTATTAATCTATTGAGAATAAATGTAGATGTATTAATACATCGTATCCATGATTTTTGAAAGGCATAGCTTAAAAAGTGGATTGGTATTCTGCAATGCCAATCGCTCCTGTCGGATGTCATCACCACACAAGGTATGAAGCCACAATGTGTCATGCTCAGATTTTGACATCTCAACCAAGCAATACTGATTTTGAAATCACCAATTGCGAGCGATGAGTATCCGCTGAATATTTTGTTTAAGGGCTCGGGCCAATGATGCGTCCGACTATCAATGAGGAGTCCGACGATCTACGGAAAAAAATTTGCTGCGCCGTGCGCCTCCCTTCAGTATGTTTGTGATAAACCATCCATGACCTCAGATATTTTCTGTTGATATTTTTCTCCTTTATTCGCGCAATTGTTTATCCGTGTGTTGGCAGTGACATCTTGTAGCAATTCCAACCCATCTCCTTGAGAAATTTTATTGCACTGGCCGACTGTATTTTGTAGTACCATTCTTGCAGAAGCCTTCATTCGTCTTTTTGTGACCTCACTGGCTTCTGTGTAATTAACACGCGGTCTCCCAATTGATGCCGTGTTGGTAACGGGGGTTGTGCAAGTGGCTGGTGATGGTATCGTGTTGCTGTTCATGGAGGTTCTACAAACGGCTGGTAATGGCATTTTGGAACCTTCCGCTTCCTTGATAAATGCCATCATTGTAGATCTGCATTTTCGACAAGGTTTTTCTTCTCCGCTGACTTTAAATCTACCAAGCACTTTCAGCCGCAATTGGTGATCAACATTCTTCAGTGGTAGAGGACAGAGCCTTTGACTTTGAAGCCCTCTCTGACTGGTCGTACAGCTTGGTATAGGACATTTTTTTATTGTGCGGTTGTGAAGCATCCTAGATAACCAACATTTCAAACACATAACGGAACCTTTCGAATTCTCGAGTTCAACGGCAGCAACTCCCAATTGGAGGTAGTTATTTTCCGTAATCGTTCGTAATTTTTCATCACGTCTTATGCCACTTTTCTTCCGTCACCTGGATGTGTGAAAAATGTTTTGAAGGTATTCAACTTATTTTGTTAATTAACTTCCTTTAATAACAACTTAAATAACGGGGGCAAAGGTTCTATATGGTTGATGCGTTTTTAGGTACGGTATATAAGAAACGATTGGTGGAATATTGTATTTGCGGCACCACATATGTTGATAATAAAAACGACGTGAATTACGTAAAATATCGTGGTGTTGCGTAAACATTATCGTGCTATCTAATGGCAACATATGCAACAAAAGTTACAAACACAATCAAATTTTGCTAAGAACACGTGCGCAAAGCTATCTACAGTAAGTAGGGCGCCTTCGGCAGTCACCTTGTTATTCGAGTCTGGTCACGGGGCACAGCTCTATGCACCCCTTCGACACAGAGAGCACAAATTTAATTTTTACTTTTGCTATTTTATGCAACTATGAACCTATCGCCGTTGTATATCATAAAATAAGATGAGAATAATCTTAGTTCCAACAAATTTGACATCGTAGGAATAGGTTTAGCGAACTCGCCATGCAGGTGAAGTTGTGTAAATATTGATTGGTTCTGAACTATGTGCTTTGCAATTTATTTATAACTATGATTATTCTCATCATTCATTTTGGCACTTGTGCTCAGCTCAATTTTTCTAATGTAAATATCTCGGCGAGTATTTACCCCCCTTTAAAATAAAACCCACCATTGAAATCCTCATAAAATAACCTTTCGAACGGGGGGTCAAGTGCCGTCAAACCGAAACAATCATATATTTATACTCACCACAAACCGAAACAATCATATATTTATACTCACCGCTTCGCCAAAAATTCAAACGAGAAAAAGAGAAAAAGCTGAATATATTCTAAACTTTGGTGTCATTTTCTGAAAGGATATATGTGTAAAATACTCTTTGTATTCAAGCGCTTTCGTGTAGAAAGTTTCGTATGAATACGGCGAGCAGAAATATTTATTTTGAATTTTTCAAGTATCGGGTTTTACTCGCACGCACTTGTATTACGTAATACTTGGCCAATAAGGAGCTCCCTTTAGCCAGGATGACGTCAAACTCACGCGTATGGGTGCACTTTGACCTGTAGAAATGGTTCTGGCATTTCCAGAGTCACGCGATACAAGCATCGCATTGTTTTGACGGTTTTTAGTCGTATTTCCGGTTGGGATTAACGCATATTCGTAGCAGAAATACAAAATTCGGCACTAAATGTCGAACTTTAAAGATAGAAGCTTGAAAACAACACTATACGTGTTATTTTTAACTTCTTAATACATTAAGAAGATCAGAATGAGCATACGTCTCAATGGGACGAAGTTCTATTCGGCGAAAGGTATGTTTATGTTTATAATTTGTCAGTAATATTGCGTAATTTGATCATATAGAAGCTCGTTTGACTTTCAAAGCTCATAAATCGTTATAATGTTGCCATTGACTAAAACTATCGTTACGAATGAAGAGATTTCGTTGCACTGAATCGAATGGTGGGATTTTTGTCCACATAGCATTCAACGAACCGAAGATATGACATGTCAAAGTCGTATTGTATGAGTGCCATACGATAATAGGGTCGCGCTGAGAAAGAGTTAACTGGAATAGCTGTAAACATTAAAGTCTGTGATTGACCGAAAAATAGCCAATCCATTTTATAATAGATGGTTTAGTATCATTGGATTTTAGTCGCACTTTCCCGAAATTGTATTTTTTTAACTGCGAATTGCGAAAACCTGGTGTAACTGTAATTTTTAATACAGGTTCTCAACCGAGTCTGCTAACTTATCTTTTGCACTTCATCGAAGGTTTTCCAATCAAATAAACGAATTTTGGTTATGGGCGGACCATTAGAAATTGTGGGAAGGGGGTGGCAATTTTCTGGTCCTGGATATTCATTTCTACTAACGACATTGTGCAAGTTTTTTTTCAGCCATGTTTGTTTTTGTAAAGCAAAGTGAGCCTGTCACAAAACGATATTAATAATATTATGTATCAACTTTATACATCCTTAAACATATATAATGTTTAGCTATAAGGGTTTCTCAGTCTATCATATTGTCTATATGCGATTTAAATGCCAGATATAGACGTCCATTAAAGTTTATATTTTTCGTTTATAAGGTTTATTTTTGGGACCCCTCTTAATAGCGTTAAAAGTTCGAACCTTGGGACATACATTCAGTAATTGCTAGCGTTTTGGTCGAACTTGGACGAACTTTAGGGAACGTATAACTACTAGGAAGCGCCAACATTGTTTCGCTGAATATAGAAATGATGAAATTTGGAGTCACTAGATCGTCGGAAATGGCATTTTCATAACCTTTTTGTCCAACCCCACCACTCCCCTAATGTGCGCCCTTAGTTTGAAGACTTTTTAAAACTGAATGTCTTAATAACACATCACGTGTAAAACATAGTGTGACAATTATTCTAGATAATCTTCAGACGTTGCAAGTGCTTTTAAATCTGTAATTTCAAGGAAAAATATTTGCCGCCATTATTATTATTAACAACCCCTCCCTCCCATTTACCCCCCCCCCTGCCCATAAATAATTGTGTTATGTTCGTTTAACTGGCAAGCTATTTTTTCCCGATTTGGGCTTCAGCAAGATTTTTTTCCCAGTTAACTGAACTTAGACGATTTTTTTTTCTCCAGAAATTGTCACCCCAATCTGCCAATTTCTAATGGTCCGCCCCTTATGAGCATGCTCAGTATTCAACATACGGGTTACGTAATTACTTACATGATATCGAGGCAGTCAATCGAATCGAACATTTGCGAAAATCGTAACCAAGGAAGGCCGAATTTATCGTGAAAGGATTCAATTTTTTATATTTGATATCAAATCAAAACATATTTCACAAACAAGATACAGCAAAGTATGTGGATTTAATTTAATAACATTTGGTCGCATTATTGGGATGTTTTGGAAACGAAAGAAGGTAGGATTTCTTGCTTTTTCGAGTGTGTCACATGCAACTTTAGGGTTTTTTCGAGGGGTTTTTAATAAACAGTTTGTCATTTCTTAAAACTAATTAAAAACTGCTAAAACATCAACCATTATTGGCTACAAAACAATGTTCGATTCATTTTAAATATTTATGATTCGTGCAGTAGCCAAACAGACAAAAACAGGCTTTTTGCAAGAAAATATATTCTGCTCTCAATGTTCAATAAAAGACAAAGACAAAATATTAAATTAAAGAAACAAAACGATTTATAATCAAGAGCGTTCTATAGCTTATAACTCCTTGTCGACAATGCTTAAATTTTATTTTGTGTGAAATTCGTCTCGGATAATCCCTGCCAAAACTGCTTTGATTTGGTTGTATGAGACTTCATGGCGTAGGGCGTCCCTAATTTGTCGAAGGGTCGGTAAGCCGGCTTCGATTAGCTGAACAATCCTATCACGATATAGGCTGTTGATATTCATTTCGCTGACAAGTTTTTCAAAAGATATCATAGGAGCTCCAGCACAATAAGCGTCGATTATATAAACTTAACTTCTGCTGTGGGGATTTCAATTCGCAGAAACCTGGCAATAGACTTTATGTCAGTATGGCTTTTCTCAAACATTTTCACTGCTTCAATTTTTTTGGTTGATGGTTTATTTTTTTCATATAACGCCTTCAAACTTTGATTCTGTTGTATAAATTAAATGGAAATATGGAAATACTGCTCTGCGAAGATCAAATATAGACTATATAACAGTGTTTCGGTGATATAGTTTTGGCAGTTTGCATTCACTTTTTATCAGATAAATCAAACAACTATGATATAAACCATGCAGTTTTCACTTATAAAGGCACGTAAAGTTTACCTCGCTAGACTACTTTAAGTATTTGCCTTCGGTATATGTTCTATTGTGTAAAACGCCTGGTCTAGACTAAGTTAAAACTGAAAAAATATATCTTTTTTTAATATACGCGAGTACCCCATACTAATAAGGCGTAGCCTTGACGTCTGAAATATATGCATAATTTACGAAAAACAACTTTTGCTTTATATAGTTGTATATTACCTTTCTGGATGTTGAAGGAAGTTTGCTATATTTTTTTTGCTGTTTGTTTCATTTGTCAAAACAATGTGCTGTGAAGTCATTTTTTACTTATATCTCTCGTTATATATACTTTTCTGCCTCTCTGTACTATAAATAAATTATGAAGAGCATTTGAGGATAATTTTAGGCTTTTTAAAGACAAGTATATTTAAAAGTTTTACGTTGTAACAAAACTCCAAGGACAAGGCAACACAAAACCACAGCATACATTTAAAGCCGTATGGTAGTTGAAAAAATATATACATTTACCTTTAATTTTTAAGGGAATAAATAATTTTGCGTAAAAAACAAATGTACTAACCTTTTTACTTCGCAACTTTAGTTTCTTTGGTGTATTCTCAGCTTTTTTTTGTTTTCCCGCCTTTGAAAATTTTAAATTCCTGACTCTACAGTTTTACTTTGAAACATGGATTCGTCCCCGGATTTATGATCCTTAGTAGCAAAGGCCTGGTTACTAAGTTTTGAGCGATATTTTGAAAATATTCTCGATTTTTAAAAAAATCTCCTCTTAATTTTCCTTAGAGGCAAAGGGCACGCACAAGTCATTACTTGATCGGAGTGTATACTCAGATCTTTGACCAACCCGAATAGGACAAAGATCAGAGATATATCCAGGAACTAATCCATTTTTAATCTTATAGAACAAAGTAACTTGATGTATTTTCCTTCTGTCACTAAGCTTATATAAACCAATATCTTGCAATACACTCTCCCTGTGTGTACCCTTCATAGCCCCAGTTATTAACCTTCCAGCATCAGTTTGTACGGATTCAAGCCAATCAGATCCATATTGTGGACCCCCT